TTATTATGTTATCCTTCTTTTATTCTTTAAAATAAAAAATTAAAAAAAAAAATAAATAAATAAAAGTTCAAGCTTACAAGTGCTACTTTTTGGATGTATGATTGGATCCAATAACCTCAAAAGCATTACGCTTTCTTAATTGTTCAGTTCAAATCACACTCACACTCACTTCTATCTCATTAGGAAGTGTGTAAATTAGCACCTGATAACAACTCACGATAGACGTTTATCATCCAGAGGAAAGCAGAAGAGAGGTTATGCTACGAGAGGCATAGATACCATTCACAAACTTTGGTTTGCCAGTGGCGATTACCATGTTTTGCTTCACCTGTTAGTGCATGAAAAAACCAAAACACAGAAAAATCACGCAGACATGAATCTTTACTGCAACAATTGTTTTACATGTCTTCATTAAAAACACATTCCACACACAGTAATACCAGAGTAATGCAGAGAACATGCAAACCCGTGACTATGCTGGGCTGGGGCCAGATGACCGGAGCTGGTCACAAAGGCCTCACCTCCACTACCTGCTTTCCTTTGCAGTTAGCAGGGAAGGGTCACTTGCTTTGTGCAAGGAACTTCAGGAAAGAACCCAGAGATGCTTCATTATTTCTCACAGTCACCAATTCAGAATCTGTAATAACTCAAGGCCTTAGCTTGACTGGAGGTTCCATTAACACTGTGAAGATAACTCTGACTAGGGCATAAAATTGTGCAGATGGTTTGATTTTAACTAAGTATTTAAAAAAAACACTTCCTCAAACTTAGGTAGACTTGAAATCTGAAAATCTGAGAGGAACAAAATATTCCAATATATAGGTTAACATTAAACATAGTGGTTTTCCTGCCTCAGCCTGTAATGCTGGGATTACAGGCGTGTCCCACCACGCCCAGTTCCCTCCTTTTTTTCTGAGTTTTAAAACATTTTTTCTTGAATATCATGTTACTTTTTAAATAAAACACTTAAATTGTGCTATTATTATTATTCATGAGAAATTTTTAAAGATTTATTAGCATAGTGACAGGTTAATAGATGTATTATTTAAAATTTATTCACTACAGCAGCTCTAGAAGATACACACATAAATCTGTAGCCAAGTTATTTCAAAGTACTATGTGTATGTCCCTAAATGTAATTCAGACTACCCTCCCCTCAGTATGAATTACTGATGTTATTGCAGATACAGGCTTACTTTTCTCATTTCTGAAACAAAACACCCAACACCAGAGTTAGAGAAGGGAAGGTTTACTTGGCTCCGTTTGCAGAGGTTTCAATCCACAGTCACCGGGCTCCAAGCCAGGGTGGCCTGGCAGAGGCGCATCACAGAGAAACAGTCCATGGTGCAGCAGGCAGAAGGCAGTGAAGCAGCAAGCAGCAGCACCAGCCCGCCTTCCCTCTCTCCTTTTCTATTCCATCCAAGCTGTAAGCCTATTGATTAGTGCCACCAACACCCAGGATGTGGTTCCACTATCCACACCCAGAACATGCTAAACCCACTTAGTTATCACACCCTAGATCCAGCCACCTCTGCAAAGCCCTGCCTATGACCATATGAGACTCTCTCTGGGGGGCACATCCAGATAAAGCCATGACAAAGGCGTCACAGAAACACTGAACAATGAGTTCCATCTCATTAAAATTACAGGGTTTTACTGAATAAAAAAGAAATACTTTACTTACAGCCAGGTATGGTGTGTCTATGGTCATTTCTCATTTAACAATACAGATTTAAAAACAACTTAGCCTCAGAGAGGAAAATAATGAAAGAGGAAGCTAAAAGAAAGTGAGATTAATATTTGTACTTAGAAATATTAAATTTCATTATTTTGCTGAAATGTCTTTAAAAGTAATGAGAAAAAAAGTTTTTATGGAAGTATCATGAGAGTATGTAAGCTATCAAATGTGAGCATCTTTACCTAGTCATAAACACTCCCAAAGGGAACTTACAGGTGTGATGTCAGAGACTCAACAAGGGCTACTGGGCAATCCAAACGCATTCACTCTGCTGTCTTCCAAACAACTGCCCCCAGTCACACAGAGCCGTACATAATGGAATCTCTTGGCTGGAACTGTATCCACGTGTTGTGAGTCCAGACACCTGCTCTCGTTTTGTTGATGACACTGGGGGAACCCAGGGCCCTCACACAGAGCTACATCCCCAGCTGTTTTTAAATTCTGAGATAGGGGCTCCCTACATCACTAAGTTGTCTGGTGGGGCTCAAACCGCCTCATTCTCCCAGAGTGCTGGGATCACAGCACATCACTGGCCCAGGAAAGGATCAAGACCCCAAACTGAAAGTATGTCTTCTACTGAATGTGGTCACTGCTGCACTACTGTAAAGTTTAAAAAGAAAACAAAAAAGCCAGAGACCATCTGTGTTGATCCTCAGATCTTCAAGAGCAAGAGCTTAGGGACAAAGTATAATTTACAATGTCTTTAATTATACAGCTGACCATGAACAATATGTGAACAATACATAAAAAATCACCTTCAGATTTAAGCTTTCTATGCACATTTGGCCCTTAACACCACCCCCAAAAGTGCTGTATTAAAAAAATCACAGAGACTTAGGGTTTGGAAAATAAAGGTTATGATATTTGAAAAATACAGTATCGTGCAAATAATTTTGGAATTTCTTTATTAAGTTTAGTGGTCAGACTCCACCTGGATTTCCACGTCTCACCTACTTCGGACTACACCTGACCCACAGAGGAAAGACCCAGGTATCCCTCCGATCTTGGCAGTGCTGCTGTCCCCACCCCACTGTCGCCACGACTTCTATCGAACAGCGAAGGCCTCTCACAGAGGGAGACAGCTCCACACCCGTGAGCTCACCTCAGGCTCCCACGGGATGGAGCCCTGCCTCCCTTGCCCCATCTCCAACTGTCCACCGTGAGGGGAATGCTCCTGCCCCGCTCTCAAAGCTCCGTCTCCCAGCAGCTAAGCAACTCCGTGTCCCGTGTTCGTCCTCCGACTCTAGATTTCCACTGAGCGACTACACACCCATGAGGGTGTGCCTCACTAACCAGGATTCTGGGGTCTATTTCAGAGGCTGTTTGATAACTCATCTAGAAAATAAGAAAAAAACACTATAATACTAATAAAATCAGCCATTACCATTTCACAGGAACAAAGCTGCCTTTGATTCTGGGGCTGAGGGAGCCTGGACGTAATATTTGGTACTAACTTTGGCTACGCACCTTTTAAAGAGGGTGCCACAGGAATGTTCCCTCCGGCTCCCTTCTAATATTCTAACAGTGGTAATATGCTTGTTTACCCTCAAACTGGCCTTATAACTTGAACTGAGTGTGCCTGTGAGCTTAGGTACATTCTTAACCTTTGCAGATTAAAAGTGGGGTTCACTTTTGCCAAAGACTATAAAGGAACTGGCAGTGGGTGAGACCAGCAACATTATTTTCTTTAAAAAAAATTCCCCAGAGTTTACATGTGAAAAGGTAATGAATGTCAATTCTTCATAGAAGTGGCTGGCTTCAGAGGTTAAAATGAAATATGAAAGGATAGGACAACCTATTCTGTGATAAACTGAAGAGACACCCAGCCCCCCAAAATAATAACAACAATAATAAATTCAACAACACAGCTGTATACTCTTCCAGAGAAGTGTTACATATTCCATTTGTCGTTGCCAGCACCAGGTGAACGTAAATTTTAGGCGGAAATGTGCCCTGTGTAGCACTAGGACAAACATCACAGTTTATTAGCAGAATAAAGCAGACAATGGTGAGGTAAACGAGTACTACAACATAAAGCATACTGGTAATGAAACGGTAATAAAATAGTAAAGTTTACTATTTTTTTTAACTGAGAAGCCCTGCTGTAAACATTCACATTTAGTACTGCCCCCCAAAATGTAACAATTTGCACAAACAAAAATCATTTTGGTGACTACAAAAATCACGAATAGGGCTGGAGCTATAGCTCAGCAGCACAGCACCTGCCTGCCTGGCAAGCGCAAGGTCCTGACTTCGACTCCTGATACAAAAAAAAAAAAAAAAAAAAAAAAATTCACGAATCATTTGTACACTGTGGCTCTTTCGTCTTGATGGTTTTCAGGATAAGATGTGAACTGTGTTAAGTAGCTTCACTGATTTCTCCATCACAGACTGCCAGCTCTGGAACCTCATTCATCCTCAGGACCTCTTCATAGAGCAAGTAATTATGCAGGCTTCTAGGAAGTGGCAACTGGCGGATAAAACTGTCGGATTTTGAGTGATCTGCTTTTAGGCTGGACCGAATTTCCAAACGACAAAGATGGGCTAAGGACGGAACAGAGGCTGGAGAGAGAAACAAAAACAGCACGTTACAAAATCATTAACTATGCGGTATGTGCCCTCCCTCACCTCCGCCCCGTCCTGAGACTGTAAAAGATCAGTGGTGTGCTTCCAAGAGGACTGTGTGGCCAGGATAACGATGCAAATCTTACTCATTTTTTTCTACCTGGCTCCTATCCTTTCAGTTGTTGGACAGACATTCAAGGTCAGCATCCAGAGCCACAAAATGCAAATGTTCAAATTCCAGAGATCTAACAATATATGCGGATACTTAAGGAATAGGTGAACTTTAAAAATGCTACACACACCCCCCAGCGAATACCACATTCCTCTTTGTCCACTCACTGTAGATGGTTTCCAGACCAACCAGGTCCACTGAAGGTGGTACACAGCTTGCAAGTTTTCCTCTTGTTTCAATATTGGCACAGAGAAAGAGGGAGCATTTATTGAGTGCCTTCTACGTCATATGCCGGTGCACTTCCCAAATATTCTCTTTCTGTCTTCCTCAACCCTATCAGGTACACACACACAAATACGCAGTTTTGGTGTATGCACGTTAGGGGAGGGGGTTCCGGGGTTGAAACCTGGGCCTTGTGTGGGCCACGCACATACTCTAGCACTGAGCAGCACAGACTGGTGCTACCTGGAGATGGTGGAGGCCTAAGAGGTGGGGCGTGGCCGGAGGGCTTCGTGTCACTGGGATCGTGCACTCCAAGGGCACTGTGAGACCCAGTCCCTGTCTGCCTGTGTTTACTGCCCACTCATGAGATGGATGGATCTGCTTCCCCACACACTTCTGCCATGGTGCGCTGCCTCACCACAGGCCCCGGAGCAGCCATCCAACGGTAGACTGGAACCTCCCAAACTGTGAGCCAACACACCCTTTTCTTTTCAGAAGCTGATTCCCTCAGATGCCTGTTATAGTAGTAGTTGGCTTAAACAGTGCTCTCCCATGAAGGATAGGAAAACAGACGAAGGCAGTGCTGAAGAGCATGTTGAAATTACAAACGCCATTTTCCAAGGTGTACACAACCTGACTGTCTTCAACTGTTGGATATACAGAAGCCCTCCTTCCATCAGGACCAGAATTAGTCAGGACCAATGGTCCTACCAGGACCAGAACTGGTCAGGCAACGAAAAGTGACCGAACCATACACACATATGATCTGATTTAAACATGTACATAATCACAGCCATAACATATCACCCACAGTCTGCAGTTTTCCTACTTTAATTTACAGCATGAATCAAAAGACACATAGGAAGCAAGATGAGTCCATCATCTCTGAATATTTTTCACACCTTCCAGGTGTCCCGCCCAAATCTCATTCAAGTCCACTCTGCTCAGTGCTCAGCTGTCTCAGATCTTTCTGAGGCATAAACTTTGCACCAAGTGCCACTGCGTGTACCCGGAAGCGCGGCTACTCAAAAGCTTGGGCTGGGAGGCTCACATGCGCCCAGGAGCTCAAGGCCAGCCTGGGCAACAGGGTGAGACCCTCGTCTCAACAACAACACAAAAAAACACTTCCAACTTTCCCTTAATAGAAACACTAATTCTCCTTTCACACTCACAACACACTAGCGTATGCAGGTTGGAATTGAATTATTTACTAATAACATGCACAAATGTCAAAGTTTCAGAATAAATGCTAGTAAGCACAGACTCATCTCCTCTGGTAAAGACAGCAGTATGCTGGCACGTGAGTGAGTAGCTGACCGGCTGCAAATACGGGGGACACCCTGAGCACCGCCAGATGGCCCCTGAGAAGAAACGCCAAGACTGGAGAATCTGGTACATGGATTAAAGTAAAGCTGGTTAAGGGAATGCCCACTTATACCCAGTTAGCACTTAATACACATGAGATCAAATCGCTCCCTGTGGCACACTCCGTTAACGTGTGTATTCATCACACCCCCAGAAGGAAGGTGAAGGACAGCTGTGTCACCCCGAGGGAAGCTGCTCACTCAGGGCTCAGTGGGGTCTGTAAAGATCCGCAGTCCTGGGCTTCCACAGACTGCAACGGCTCCACACTCCTCTGGCTGCCGGGACAGTTCCTCCTCCGCCTCAAGCCTTCCTGCTACCAGTCGAAGCCTTGTCTGACCACACCAGAGCCCTGCCTCTCAGCGCGGTTTCCACACCACGGCTGAATCATCTGCGATCAGGTACACACTCCACACGCATCCTGTGTGGACCAGTACACACCCGTACAGGCCCTAACCGACCTGTCCCGTCACTGTTCATCAACGACACAGCTGCCGTTAGCAGGACCCAAGAGATCTGACTTCACGCCTGGGGTTCTTGAAGCTGGGAAAACCCACAGTAATTCTCTAACATCTTCTAACCCACTGAAACTGTAAGTTTCAGAAGATTTTCCATTTCATTTATTTTTAAAGTAAAGGCACAGATACTTCAGATATTGATTCAAATTTTACTGCACCATTTTGGTTTTCCTCCTGAGAACACAACAGACCAACGAGCTAAAGAAAAATGAAGAGGTAAGAGCTGTATTCAACTGAACTGAGGGCATTTTCTTTTATTTTTCAGTAACTATTTTCTATTAGCATGTTAATGGTAATATTTATATTTGTTGTGGGGCATATATGGAAAATCCTGATTGTTTTCAATCCCCTTACCTCTGATACCTTTCTCCATTCTCCATCTTCAAAAAGTCTTCTTCTTGACTCCCACATCTCTCTCTTATTTTATTCTTTAATTTACATTTTGGGTTTCTTATACAGAAAAACCACATAGTAGTTAACTTCGGTGTCTGACTTATTTCTCATTATGGGCTCACGATCCATCCATTTTCCTGAGTGTGACATGAATCCGTTCTTCATTACGACTGAACAAAACTCCATTCTGTGTGTACATCACATTTGCACTACCCATCTGTGGAGGAGGAGGTAGTGCGTAGCTGTTGTGAACTTCACCGCTACCAACGTGGGTACGCATGCTATCTCCATGGCATAGCATCTTTCCAACTCTTTCAGGAATACACCCAGGACAGGTGCAGCTGGGTCAGGCGGAATTTCTACTTTTAGCTTTTTGAGGAATCTCTACTCCTGCTCCACAGTGGCTGTCCTAGTCTACATTACCGCCAGCAACACAGTCCCTTCACCACACGTACTCTCCAACACCTGCTGTAGTCTGTGCTCTTGGTGACAGCTATTCTGACTGGAGTGAGACAGAACCTGAGTTAGTCTGACTTACATTTCCCCCATTTAGCTAACGATGCTAAACGTTTTTTCAAGTACAGTACTAACTGGCCATTTGTATTTCTTTGGAAAAGTGTCTATTCAGTTCATTTGCCCACTTTTTGATTGGATTATTTGTTTATGGGGTTTTAATTTTTTTTCAGTTTTCTGTATTCTAAATATTAGTCATCTGTTATAAGAGTAGCGGGTAAAATTTGTTCCATTCTGTTAAACTGTCTTTTCACTCTGTTGATTGGTCTCTTGATTGTATGGGGACCTTCATATATTTTATATACTCCTATTTTTCAACTGCCTGGAATTATTTCTTGTACTACGGGAGTTCTATTCATCAAGTCCTTGGCAGGGCCTGTGAATTCAAGAGTTTCCCTATGTTGACTCCCAGCAGTTTCAGTGTTTCTGTTGCAATATCTAAGCCTCTGATCTATTTTGATTTTATGTTAGTACAGGAGAGAGATATGGGTCTAGTTTCCATGTTCTGCACGTAAGAAACCGATGTTCCTAGTAACACTTGTTGAAGTTATCTTTTCTCCAGCTTGTTTTGTGGCCCCTCTGTGAAAGCTCAGATGACTCATGGTGTTTGGGGCTGCTTCTGTTTCTTCTATTCTATTCCACTAGTCTACATGTCTATTTTTGTGCCAGTACCATGCTGTTTTATTAGTATAGCTTTGTAGTGTAACATGAAACCTAGGATTATAACATCTCCAACTTTGTTATTTTTGCTTGGGACTGCTTTGATTATTTTAGGTCTCTTCTGATTCCACAGAAACTTGAGGATTTTTTTCAGCTTCTATGAAGAATGTTGCTGGTGTTTTGAAAGTACGTGCATTAACTCTACATATAACTTTTGGCAATATGGCCATTTAAGTGACACTGATTCTACCTATCCAGAAACAGATGTCTTTCCATTTTCTAACACCTGCTTCAATCTCCTTCTTCAAAGTATTACAGTTTTCATTATAGAAGTCCTCCTTGGTTAGGTTGATACTACATATTAAGCTTTTCTAAATCATTGTGATTGGTACTGTTTTGCTGATTTCTCTCCCAGTGGATTCATTATTGGTGTAGAAAAGTGATTTTTGTGTATTGATTTTGCATCCTGCCACTTCAGTGAATTTTTAAAATAGCTCTAACAGTCATCTGGTAAAGTTTCTGGGTCTTCTTCTATGTAAAGAGCCACGTCATCTGCAAATCAGGATAGTTTGACTTCTTCTTTTTCTATACATACCCTCTTTATTTCTTCCTCTTGCCTGATTGTTTGGCTAAAGTTTCAACACTGAAGAGAAGTGGTGAGTGGACACACTCATCTGCTTCCTGATTTTAGAGGAATGCTTTTGGTTTTTCCTCCACTTAGTACGATTTTGGCTGTGGGTTTATCATAAATGACTTTTATGGGTTTGAGTTCCTTCTATCTCTATTTTTAAACAAACTTTTTAACATGAATGGATATTGGATTTTGTCTAGGGCTTTTTTCTCTATCTTTTGAATTGATTGTATCTATTTTTGGAAGTGACTGTATCCTTTACCCTACCTGTGTTATTATTTTTATTGATTTACATATGTTAAACCATCCTTGCATCCCTTGGGTGAAGCTGACTTACTCATGATGTATGATCTTTTAAATGATTTGCTGAATTTTGTTCACAAGTTTCTTACCAAGGATCACTGTATCTATGTTTGTCAAGAATAGCAGCCTATAGTTTTCTTTTTTGCTGAGTTCTCGTCCAGTTTTGGTATCAAAGTACTGCTGGCCTGGCTTAAAAGAATAACTGTGACAGTTCCTTCTCTTT